TCCTGATTTCCTAAGGGCTATTGGCCCAAATTACACTGTGTTGTCTATGGAGGGTCTCTGTAGTTCTCTGAAGCACCAGAACAAGCCCTGTAGGCTAAACAAAGGTACCTAACGCTGCCTGAGAGAGCCACCTGTAGCTAGGTATGGTCCTGATATTTTCCTGTGCTCCTCTTGACTCAGTCTTCAGACTCATAGATGTGGAGAAAACAAATGTTGCATGTACAACTTCCTTAGAAATAAAGCAAAGCAGCAGGCGAGTTCAGGAGCCAAATGATTGCACAGTGACCTTGGGGTTTGTGCTCCATGACTTAAGGAGGTTAATAATGTTACAGAAAAATCTTACTAGAGGAAAAACAAGCTCTTTTTTGGCTTATCACCCATGCTTTAGAAATAGTACTGCAAAGCAAAAAAAAAAAACAAACAAAAACCTAACTTCCAAATAGGAAGTTATCCTAACAAGATATTTTACAAGAGAATTGCAGAATTTAAGAAAAACATCTTTTTTCAAGCTTCCAGTTAAACCCAAGAATAAAGGGCATTTTAGGAAAGAAAAATAATAAATAATAAAATAATGTTTTCTGCCCAGGAGTGGAAATAATTTAACATGTCGGTGATGATCTCCCATTGAATTATCCTTTGAAGAGCAGAAGCAATAAATTACCATTTTAAAGAAGTGAGCCCTCACCACACAAGTTAAGTCAATGGAGTTTCAGTTGTGGGTTCCCCCTTTCCCCTGTGGCCCACCACGCCAAAACACAGCTGTCAATACCATTTAGCCATCACAGCTGGCTGCATTCTGCACCTTCACGGTAAGGGAAACAAAAGGGTCTCCCTTCTCTCCCCCCTCCCCTGCCGTCCTGCTCAGAGGTTGTGACATGGCCATAGGTAACTCACAGAACATGCATTTGAAGACTCTTGCCGGGCACACCCTTGGAGCTGCACCCGATTGAATCATTTCTCTGTTCTGCAAATGAGGGCAAAATGCAAAGACCCTTACAAAAGAGACTAAAAGGGCAAGAACAGAAACCTGTTTGGGGTGCTGGTTTGTTTGTTTGTTTATTTATCAGAGCATTCCATTGAAATTTCGGGGGGTTGAGAAGACATACTTGAAGCAAATTTGAAATGGTAGTCAAATATGGTACCATAAAGAAGGGCTTGAGTAGAGCAGAGGAGTAAGGACAGGAGAGAAAACAGCATCACAGCAGAGCCGAGCGCTTCTCTCGGACTCAGAGCTCCTTTGGAAGCAGCGTGAGCTCCATCCAGAGAGGCAGGTGAGAACTGCACGTGAAGGCAGTCACTAACCCTGTTAGAAACCTTTTCTGTAAAATAGGCTTTCAGATGTCTGGTTTAAATTCATCTTTTGACCACAGAAAGAAAGGAATGGAGGGAGGAGAGAGGTAAATTATTAGATGTTATCTCATTATATTGTTTTGTTACAAAAGGAATGTCAAACCTTAACTCCAAACTATACAAGGGCTAAAGAAATTATTCTCAAGGCTGCAAGACAATTGTTCCCTGTGTCACATGGAGTAGTAGATTTGATCCTTTTAACATCAAATTAGTAGTGTCTTCTCTGAATAACATAAAACAACAGGACAGACACAAAGAGTGACAGAAAGTGATTAGATAGAGCTGACAAGCTGCCTAAAGCAAAATTCAAGAATAGTTTCTACCAGAAGGTCCTTTGTAAGTCCTTTGGAGGTCGATGGTTCCTTTGATTGCAAAGCATCAGGCTGACAGCAAGGTATACAAATTTGGCCTCAGCCAAGCACAAAAGAAAGGTGGGCATCAGTCAGAAAACAGGAAGCAAAAAACACACAAAACAGTGAGTATCTGAATAACAGAGAGGATTTGCAATTAATTCTATTTCAAACCTGCCATGTCCTTTACATTTCAGTGCTGTCATCTAAAGATACAACCACCACAAGGCTCTCTGTGCTCATTGTCCAGACCCCCAGATCCCACATTGACCCTCTTGTTCTTTCAGGAAATGAGTAAAAAAAAATTTAATGACCCAAATATGCCTGGAATTAAAGAAAAACTAAAGGCAAATTAAATAGATCACATGGAGGCACAGTAAATAAAACCACCATCAGGTTTCTGCAGTTCATTTCTTTTCAGAGCATTTGAACATTTCAAGAATGTAATGAGATTAAAAATACAGAGGATGAACAAAATATCTGAATCAGTCATTTCCATGTAGGATATAGCTCTGCCATGGAACTTAGTTAGGGCAGAAGCTCCAATCTGCACAACTACAAGGGACAATGTGACAGTTACTGACTTCTGTTTATGAAAACATAAAAGACCAAACCATCCTTTATCAAACTAATAGCTTCCTTTCTTTACTTAATTGATAAAATAGAATTAGAACATTTTGGTTGGAAGGAAGAACATCTTGTCCAATCACGTTGTTAAGGGCATTGTCCAAATGCCTCTTAAACACAGGCTTGGGCCATCGACCACCTCTCCAGGGAGCCTGTTCCAGCGTTTGACCACCCACTTGGTGAAGAAAAGCATCTTAATGTCCAGTCCAACCTCTCCTGATGAAGTAGCTTTGAACTGCTCCCACACATGCTGGCACTGGACCCCAGGAAAATGAGATCAGCACCACCCTTTCCACTTCAGGAAGATGTAGAGGTAGCCCCTCAGCCTTCTTTTCTCCAAACCAGAAAGCCCCCAAGTTCCTAGCTGTTGCCCTGCACTCTCTCTCTTCCAATTAATACTTGCTGCCTGGTGTTTCTCCATCCTGGGTGCAGAGCCCAGCATGTGGATGAGATTTATTGACAAAGAAGTGCAACTTTTACAGATCTCTACAATACAGTAATACTGGGGGTTTTTTTAACCAACCAATCTTTCTCATAAAATTCATGCTTGTCTTTGTTGCTTTATTAAAGCCTAAGTATTGAAAAAGTAACAGCAGAAAGTGCTAGACTCATGAGATTTAATTAGAACAGTGCAACAGATTTTGAAGGTTCTGCTGTATTATAAAACTTAGATTTCCCCAGTGAATTATCTGACCCTAAATGTAATGAATCTATTTCTTGAATTAAAAACATGCTCATCCAAGTGTTCCAGGACAAATAGAAGATCTATCATTAACAATAAATAATATTTAATAAACATGCACACACTCCATGTCTGGAAAGCTACCAAATGTCTCTCTAGGCTCTTTCCTTCCAGCCAAGTAGCTATTTCTGTGAATCTGAACTTAAACTTGTAGACGTAAGTCGTATCACATAATTGTTGCTGCAGTATCTAAGGCATTACATAACACTCGTGTCTTACAAGTTTGACCTGCTTCCTATGTCAGCAAACCATGAAATGGTTTTTCAGCTCAGTCAGAATGATTTTAAACCATTGGCTATTTGTTTGATAGATTATGGCTTGTAGTATTATTTTTGTTGTACTTCGGGAATTTAGTTTGTCATGCATTGTTCAGCCCAGACTCACTCCACTAACTTCTGAACCTTCATTGATGTGTCTAAATTGGGAGCAAAGTGCCATGTGCTTCCAAAATGTGTCAACAGAGAAAAACAGCCATCTCTACCTACCAAAGATCTAGCCTACCTTCTGATGAAAACCCTCCTTAAAATGGGAAGGGGAGAGCTTTTCTTTGGAGTTCATTGAGTTTTGGCAATGTTTGTATTGTTTCCCTGCTGAAAGGCAGGTAGCAAATTTTGAAAAAAAAAAAAATCACTAAGCAGGTTACTATATAGAAATGTCTTTATTAAGGAAATCATTAGAAAATCTTCCTGCTCATATTTAGCATCAATTTTAACAAATATCTAAATTACAGATCATTCTACTTCTAATGGTATTTCTAGGAAAAAAAAATAGCATAACAGCCAGTAAGAAGTAATAACTGCAGCCCATTTACCACCAGGTTAGCAGGAAATAAATGTCATTTTACAATTGTTCTCTTGCTATAGAGTTTATTGGTGCATTTACACAGCTCTATTTCATTTGCACATATATGAAGAGGACTGCTGTATAAAATGCAAATGGACTGCACATGGAATTTAAATCATTCCAATGATATAATGGCTCAACAGCCTTTTCATTAGAATGACTAAAAAACTTTGAAGGCTGTGTTTGCTTTTAAATCAAAACACTGCTATTTTTATTCAAGCACAGAGAGCAGGAACAGTTCAACTGCACTTGCCTGTCAGTTTATTCAAAGAGGGTGCTTAGTAATTCACTGATATCCCATTGCCTCAACAAATAAGGACACAGACCTACACAACGCCCTCCACTTGTCTTTTTATATGCCCCCTCCAATTTCTGCTATGGGGGCAGAGCTCTGCATCTGGATAATCTTCCTCTCCACTCATCACATACTGTAAATGTGGGAATAGAGTGAAAAGGAGGTTTTGAGTACATCCTCCTGCATTCACCTTTGCCTCCTGCATTTTTTTGTGACTTTATCTGAAAGCAATCAGGGCCAGTAATGCCATCCTTGATTATAACACTTCATAACTGGCATCGTTCTGTCAGGAAATTGATGTTCAGCTGGGATGGCCATGACACTCTCAAAAGCTCTCAAGTTAGGCCTCCTACCACAACACTGGAAAAACTATGAAATCTGAATTATTCTCACATCCCCTTCTAGGCTCAATCCTCCATCTTCAAAGCAAATACCCTCAGTTGTCACAGGTGTTTCAGACACTGTTTTCTGTCTATAGATTGGTGTGTCCCTGGGATCCCAAAGTGAAGACTTTGTCAAGAAAACACAAATCTGAAATTACCTCATAGTCTACATCAGCCAGAGCCAGACAGAGAAAAGTGGACATAAGGGAAGAAGAACAAGGTAACAAAAATAACTTCTGCAGAGAAACAGGAGCTCAGATGGCTCAGCATCCAGAAAAACAAATATGTCCCTTCTCGAAAAAAATGATCAGTAACTGGAACAGCAAGTACAGTCCATGACATACTGCTATCATTCAAGTCAAATCTTTATCATAACAAGATTTTACTTATTCAACATTTATATTTGTTACCTTCTCATGAGCTTTTCTTTTTGTTTCAGAGTCCATCCAGTCATTTTCCTTTTCTAACATGTCAATAAAAGCCCAGCGAATTCCTTCAGTCAATTCCTCCATCTGAAAAATATTTAGAAAATCCTTCCCCAGTAAAATATATCATGGCAGAATCTTTATAAGGAAATGTTTGGTACAAGTAGGAGTGGTAGGCTTGGTTAGACCACAAATGATTGCAGATCAGATAGTATTGGCTGTCCTTTCTTGAAGGTTAATTTCTCCTCTCTCCAGTACTCAGACACTTCTTCTGAAGGTAAGCTTTTTCCATCTTCTTTCCCTTCTGGTATCACACACCCTGTTCAATGCTGATCATTTCATGTCATATTTGTGAGAATACCCATCTCGAAATCATCTAAAACATTAAGAGATTTGCAGTCCTTTGGGGAGATTTATGGCCCTTAGGTTCTAGATCACTGGCCCATGCAGAAGGATCCAGCTGAAAGGCATTTGCACAAATAAAGCCTTTCCTGCAGAGAGAATGTCTTTAGCCTGGTTTGGTTTATGTGAGACTGAGACACACCTTATTAATACTGGCAATGAACTGAATTGGGGCTGACAGGATCATGATCCAAATACAAAGCAGTAACCAAATATTTACCTTGTATTTAGCTGCATTTGTGAAGCATTGCTACCCTTTACTTACTGCAGGGAGGGAGTGGCTTACACCACTGAGCAGCCTTAACTGCTTCTGTGGTCCTGAACCACCAGTGACAGCCTGAATCTGTGCAAAACTGAGAAAGCCCACAATCACTTCATCGCAGCTGCTTCTTCAGACACCTCTGCAACGCCAAGACCACATCTTAAGCGAGTAAAAAATAGTAATAGGACTGTTCAGTGAGTATACACACTAAGAAAACCCTGAAATGACAGAAAACAAGAACTATAATAGCTAAGAAATGAATTATAGTAGTCTAAAGAGCCCTCATTCCTATGGATCCGTCTGGCAGTCCAGAAAAGTGTATGCAATCTGCTGCTTCTATTTACATCAGCAGATGAACCCCATGACAGATAGCCATGGCGAACGCTGTGAGAGAGGCAATGAGAGGATCCAGCCACTGCCTGAGTCCTTTAGCCCAAACCAGGGCTGAGACAGCACAAGACATGACAGATACCCATTAGATGAAGACTTACTGGAACTTTGCGCTATCAGTTACTTTACATTTAAAAATAATGAAAATGTCAAGCAGCAGAGATTTGTATAATCTTATTCTATAAATCTAGTAGATCTGAAATGTCACTAAAAGCAGGGACTAAACCCTCCAAGGTAACATTACTTTTAGCTAAATTGTCATTAATGTATCAGATGAATATTTTAATCTGGAACTGTCCTTTATTTGTGGTGCCGTCAGAAAAAATGTAGCAAAATTCCTTGGATTATTCATTTTTTCCTACGCTTTTCAAAAAACATTTTCTTCTTTTTAGAGTCAATATGGGTCAACCAGAGAAGGTCTAGCATTAAATATGACTAAAGAGTGAATATTCACAGTACACTGCATCACAGGAAATAAGGTAACTTAAAAGTATTGATGACAGAGCACTGACTCAATTAACTTCATTCACTAATGAGGTGAACTCCCTGTATTTGGAGGTTACAAGTTCAAACCCAAGCTCTGCAGCTGGGCCCTGGTGTATACTTAGGCTTTATGCAGCAGCTGTAGCTGCAGGGGGCAGGGGCAGAAACCTATTCCTGCTATCAAAGTTATTACTGAAACCGCTCAGGCATATCTGTAAAAAACACTGCAGGCACTCTGAGTTAGAAGCAGTGCTATATTTAGACACAAATAATGTCTTTCTTGATAAAAGAAAAGAAGTATCTAAGGTATGAAACATCAATCAGAAAACATGGGGGGGGAAAGAATCTATATTATCCGTAACTCAGGATTTGCTTATCATAGACAGATACATGCCGTAAGCAAGAAAAAGAAAGAAAAGAAACAAACAGCTGTACAAATAAGAGTGCTTCACTCACATGTTTTCTTACTGTTTAAGAAAAGAGAAATAGAACTGAAAACCAGTGAAATGAAAAAGATAAAGCCACAAATTATTAACTTGAAAAGCACACTTCTAAATTAAATGCAATGAATTTCACCTGTATGCAATTTTATCTCCGTGGGTTGTTCATTTTAAGACTGAATATTGTGACCTACACTATGAATTTTATATGCATTTCTCACTATGGGTGCTACTGTGAATTCAGACTTGATAATTTTCCAAAGCTTTGGTCTAAAAGGAATGTGCACACTAAGAAACATTCTAATTAACTGGCATTTCAAGAGAAACCAATGTCTGCTCTGTTTCTCATAATTTTTCCTCACATATGAAAATATGAAAAAGTGTCCATCCCTTCCATAAAGTGTACATTTCTTATATTCCCACTCTTCCCACTTATCCATGCAGGATAACACACTGCATATGCCTAGCATATTTTTGCCACAAAATGGCCAAATAGCACATTACAAACTGGATCAAGAGAAAGGGGATTGAAAAGCTGGATCTCAGAGAGGAAACTCCAGATGAAGGCAAATGAAAAGAAATGCAGAACCTGAGAGGGAAACAGATGACAAAGATTTGGACAGGTCAAATGAGTGTGTGGAAAAAATTGAATCCTTCCCTGAGAAAGGGATCCAAGTAGATAAAGCCAAACAGGCAAACTAAGACTACTGAGCCAGGGCAGCGCAGGGCTTTCAAAAAGCTCCCAGCACAGGGTACCATCTCATGTTTCCTAAATGGTTGTGCCTCCTCCTGCATGGAGAGCTAAGTTCAATGACTAAATTGAGTCAATTTAAAACTGATTACTGCTGGAAAATCAATGGCCATAAAAGCAGATATTGGAAAACTTTATAAGAAAAATATGAACTGAAAATAAGTCATAAATTACTGTGAAGGGTAATTAATTATTTGAATATATTATTGAGAGAAGTGATAACATAGCTATTGTTGAAATTTTAGAATGAGGATGAACATCTCTCTCTACTCAAATGTATGGAAGGAAATTTCCTTCCACTGTTCAGCAGAAAATATTTGAATCACAAATATAAACTCCCACTCTGTGGCTCTCAGCTTTCCTTAATTTGGGCCAGATATCTCTCACATATTTTTTGCTCAGATGTAGCAGTCACAGCTTTCAAAGGGTAGTCCTAAAGCAGAGAAATCTCAACCAGTTTTTTGATTAGTCAGTAAAAACTTTAATAAATTTTATTAGCTATACTAAACCACTTCTCAATACCCCTCACTCTGTTCCTGCACAGCCTGGCTGTCACTATTTACATAAATTAACAGCGTTCAACCTGGTTTTGAACTGTCTGCTTATTTGTCTGAAGAACTGCAGATGGAAGGGAGGGGCAGTGCCCAGATGTGTAGAAAGGTGACATTTCTTCAAATTAATTCAATTTTCTCCTCGTGTTTTGGGGTTTTTTAATTCAATTAAAACATTTTTAAGAATCTTATCTCTTTTTAAACTTTGTTTTAACATCAGACGCAATTTGTGAGGATGAAACCATTAACTGAAAATTTCCAGACAGAGACTGCAGAGGACTCACCATCTTTTTGTTGTCTTCTTGAAAATGGGCTTTCACAAACATCTGACCCACAACATAGGGGAGGGCATTTTCTACAAGGTCCACACATTTATCCCACTGAGGCAGCAAAGTTGTAGTCCCATGGATCACCTGTTGACAGGGGCATATATTAGGCCATAACATCATACTGTTTAAGAAGAATCCTCATGTAGTATAGGACAAAGCACATTTGTCAAAAAGCCACCAAAAGAAAATAATGATACTCTGCAGTTATTTCTATTTTCATCCAATGCTAAGAAAAATATTTTGAACACCACAAAATACCTGCAAGATTTTAAACTTAACAGTACAATGGTAGCAGTAACTTAGAGAGACTAGACTTAGAGAATCAGAGCTAACTTTGGACTAATCTTAGTATTCTTTCTGTGTTAGGTAGAGAGACAATTTCCTCTAGAAAAACCCTGCTGTGAGAGATCACCTGAATATGTTTGCCTCTCCTCAGACAGGATGAGAAGCCTAGGTAGACTGCCCTCATGAAAACTGGGTTAGTTCTATGAAACACGTCCCTCAAAGTCCTCCATTGCCATGAACTAATGACATCAAACATAGATGGGTACGTGTCCACACCTTTTTGTCATTTACCTGTCCAACTACTTTTACAGCAGTTTGTGTAAAATAGTTGCTTTCAGTTCCTTTCCCAAACAAATAATTTTCAGGAGAAAAGAGGTTTGTATCATCAAGAACACTGAATATGTTTGTTTCTACCCAAAAAAATAAATAAAAAAAATCACTCTATGTTGCAGTAGAAAGATGTTGGTAGAACAACTTGCATGTTATACTAAAGGAATGGTATTAAATACATACTTTCAGGCTCTGATGCTGTCACCATAAATGAGCTTTAAAATAAACAGTCAAGAATGGACAGCACAACAAGGATCAAGGCAAAACACAACTCAAGAGCATTTGCTACCTTGGTTTCCTTTTCACACAGGAGGAATTTTATTACTGTGGGTGCTTACCTAGCTAACATTACATTGCTCATCAAGATGTACTTTGTGTAAATAAATCCTGCACACAACAAGATAGAAGATGGGTTCATGTGAGCAATAAACAGTGCTGATTTAAGAAACTTTTGTTATTTTCAAGGTACAAAGTTTTCCCTTTCCACATAAGGAACTTTTTAAGCTTTTCCACAGAGAACACGCATAATCCCAGTCCAGCAGTTACCACCTGACAGCTGTGTAAAGGCAGAGTACAGTCAGCATCAAACCAGAGCAGGTGGGATAGGGATTCTGGCCTCTCACAGATTATAAAAGCCTCTTAAGCACCAATTTTGCAGTTTCTGAGCCCTTTCTTTTTCCCATTATTCTCCTCCTTTTAGCACAAGATTACATGTCCAGCAAAACTGAAGGATTTGGATTTGTCTCTTTCCAATAGGAAAATATTTCATTGGAAAATTCCAGAGCAGCTTAACCCTCAGCTATTGAAGGTGAGATATTTTGGTAGTTCAAAGATTGATTTTCCCTATCATATTGTCTCTAATTAAGCATAATCAATGACTCACACTTAAATACACCAGTGAATTGCATTTCCAAATGCTTTTTATTAATACTGTATATGCAGTAATAGATTTTCTACGGCAGAGAGTACTCTGCTTCTAAAAGAAAACCTTATTAGTCAAACCAATACATAATAAGGTGATATTTTTTCTAAACAGAGCCAAATTTGACAATCAACTCCTTTTCCAAATTCTTCAACCTTCATACATAACACAACAAAACACTCAAAAAAAGATAAGGACAAAAGAGAAGAAAAATTCTCTCTGGGGTCAGAGTAAACCCACAATGGAGCTTTTTCCTGATGCATGGGGAAGGAGGGGAATTATGGCATTAGTCATCAGAGCTTGAAATTCCTTCCAAAAGCTGTGAGTAAGCATCAGCCATAGAAATATCAGGAGACAGAGCTGGCTTTTAGACTGTGACATACTATTATTACAACATAATAATTATCATTACTTTGAGGGAGGCTTGACTGTAAGGAGGATATAAAGGCAGCACAGACTGTGAGACCAATAAAAATAGAGCTGAGAGGAAGAGATTATATCACAGCTGTTTTATTGATATTTATGTTACAACAGCCAACAGGAACTCCCTCAAATGGTCCTCCTAATATTAATGTACCTCTCTAAAACACAGTACTTCAGGTAGTAACAGTGGCTATAAATAGCAGGTTTCAAGCCCTCCCAGTCAATTCAGAGCTTCACGACACAATTAACCGACCCCCAGGTGCCACTGCACATTTACAAGGTTTCAAAGTGCCACTGCAGAGGAGTTGCTGAGAGTTGCTGGTGTGGTACTCAAAGCACTTTCTCTAGAGTCAGCAGGTTTTTCCCATTTCTAAACCTGAAGTTTTTTTAAAGTCTCATCATTTTCCTTCTCCTTGCAAAAATCTTAAGGCCCTAGTGCCAAGATTTCTACATACAAGGTATAAAAGGCACCAATAGAAAATGAGAACCTGGTGAAAAAAAATAGTTTGCTTGTGATGGTTGATGCTGACTGAATTAATGAAGCAATGAGTATATAAAATACACCTTTTCCTTTAACGGTCACTGATCTATCTCATGGTCATATCTTTTTAGTAGCAATTCAATGTTTTATTCGCTTACCTGGCAAGGGGTTGGTGTGTCCTTTCTATGATTCTAAAGTGCCTCTAGTTTTCCATCCTCTGACTAGACAAACTATTCAACAATAGATGAGTCCAACACCTTGGACTCCATCCCTCATGTCCTTTCTATTGACCTGTGAAGTCAGTTCCACTGAGCTGTTTAGTCCAATTAACTTCACCTGTTAACTATTAGCTACTGCTGTTTACTTCACTCACCTAACTCTCCATCTCCAGGTCCCAGCGGCAGATAACAGGAATGAGTTGCTGATTCACTGCTTTTACTGTGCTTTAAGCTTTCACAGCCATTTACATGGCCAATATTGTTTAAGTTACTCATCAGTGACTTGGCGGGGGGGCAGAGGCCTCCTCAGCGAGTTCACTGATGGCACAGAGCTGGGAGGAGAGGCCGATTCCCCCGAGAGCTGTGCAGCCCTTCAGAGGGGCCTGGACAGGCTGGAGAGATGGGAGAGGAATGGTCTGAAATTCAGAAAAGGCAAATGCAGGCTCCTGCCCTGGGGAAGGACAACCCCAGGCACCAGCACGGGCTGGGGCCGACCTGCTGGAGCAGCTCTGCAGAGAAGGGCCTGGGGGTCCTGGTGGACAATGAGCTGTCCATGAGCCAGCAGTGCCCTGGGGGCCAGGAGGGCCAGGGGGATCCTGGGGTGCATTAGGGACAGCTCTGCCAGCAGGTCAGGGAGGTGATCCTGCCCCTCCACTGAGCCCCAGGGAGGCGTGTCTGGAGTGCTGTGCCCAGCTCTGGGCTCCTCAGGACAAGAGAGACATGGAGCTCCTGGAGCAGGTCCAGTGAAGGGAAACAAGGATGAAGGGACTGGAACATCTCTCTTATGAGGAAAGTCTGAGTGAGAGGGACCTGTTCAGCCTTGAGAAGAGACAACTGAGAGGGAAACCCATCACTGTTTAAAAGTATCTGAAGGGGAGGTGCTAAGAGGTTGGAGCCCTTTGGAGGCTCTTTTCTGTGATGCTGAGCAATAGAACCAGAGGCAGAACCTGATGCACAGGAAATTCCACCTGAACATGAAGAAGAATTTCTTCCCCATGCAGTGAACGAGCACTGGCACAGATTACCCAGAGAGGGCGTGGAGTCTCCTTCACTGGGGATGTTCAAAAACCATCTGGGCACAATCCTGTGCCATGTGCTCTGGGATGACCCTCCTTGCGGAGGGAGATTGGACCAGATGACCCCATTGTGGTCCCTTCCAATCTGACCCATTCTGGAATTCTATGACATCCTTGATGAGATTATTAATAAGCACTGAATCACTTTGAATTCTATTTCTCCTCAAGCTTCTACATTCCAGAGATGTGACAGTAGTGAGTTACCATATTAAAATGCACAGTATCCAAAGCTTAATGTTTCCTTTGAGGATTTTTTCTGGCCATTATAGAACCCAGTGTAACTCAGTATTATTCTACAGACTGGCTGATAGCCATCAATCTATTTTACCTGACTAGCAAGGAATGTCCTAGGAGGGGACACGTACAAACTTGTTACTGTGGTTCTGACAGCCAGTTTCACATATTTTACATGAAGAAAATAGCATCTTTAACATGACTATTTTGAATATGATCTCAGAAGTACAAGAGGCTGCCTTTCCTGTGTAGTTTCCATCATGCTATCAGAGTTTATTTTTAGGTATGTGATCAACTCGGAACTATTCCAGTATTACTCAAGGAAAAAGAGTATAGGTTCTTTAATTAGTCACCTGCATGCCTCAGCAGGAAGGACAAAACACTCACACCTCCTGCACCTTTCTAGCCTCCTGTTGTCAGCCAATTTTCATAATGGCAAGCAAAGTTCACCATCCAAAGTGGCTTAGACACAAGACAAAGTACCATTCAGTTTCAGTTTCATCCTTGTTATACTTAAGGAGCCCTCACACTGCCCACATGATTACCAAGGTGGCTTTCTATTCAGGGTTCACCTAATCAAATGTATGTGTTTTACATAAATGCCCATATTACTGAAGAGATAATTAATTCTGCTCTCACAGCTTGTGGCAGTTTTCTGGTTCTTTTGCAATCCCAAGCTGGAAGGCATTTGATCATCTTCTCTGTGGAAATGGCTGGGTATCCTTGTGCTAGAGCTCATGTAATGTTGGCATTAGAGCATGGGAGAGCTTTGAGTAAGCTTTAAAAAAGTGAAATCCTAGACTTCTGGTTTACTGGAGCTGTGTTCACACTGGGGCAAAAGCTTAGATTTTGGTCAAAAGGGTTTGGCCTGAATGTCACAGCCACGTAGTCTAATTCAAGTTTCCTCAAAACAAGACTACGTTTTTTAAAGGGGAGGTTTCAAAACCTCTTTAACACCATCTAAAAGACTTTTTTGTCTTAGTGTCATTCTAGCATCATATAAAAGTCATAGTGTCATACACAAAAATATGTGCGTCAATCGTTTAAGAGGTTGTCTTAAAAAAAAAAGTTTATTCAAGAAATTTATCCAGCATGGAAGGCATTTTGTGTTTTGCAAAGGTATAAGCAACTATAAAGGAAACCAATAGTGTCAACACTAGGACCCTTGCAAATGCTATGAAAGTATAACTTACCCGAGAAAACTCCAGCCACCGATACTGAAAACGTCTACTGAGGTTAAATAACCTTGAATAAACCATCCTCCATACCAGGTAATTGGCAAGAGTCCTGTTAAATCAGGCATATTTTTATCAGGCATGTAAACACATATGATGTACCACAAAGCATTCACAGAAATAGCTACAAACTATTATAAGGTGGAAATTTCACCTTAAAAATTAATGAATGATGGCCAAATCAATAAATCTCAATTACACAGGAGAATCTGTATGATTGCAGCCATTTAATATATAATTTCCCTATAGTAACCATCTTCTAGGGATTATTTATAACAGGTCAATCACCTAGTATGTCATTTCTAGGTAATTTTTTTTCCAAAAGGCAGCTTTCATTTTCCTTAGAAGTGGCAAAATTATGTTATAATAATAGTTACATCAAAGTTCTATCCAGAGATTAACTGTTTTTTTCTTTTGTAGATCAAAGTGAATTTTATCTCCCCTCATTAGTAGGGCACATAAATGGCAATAGAACAGATAACAGTCCATCCCGTATACACTCTCATTATCTCATATTTGTATCTTTCATTAGAAGTTGTCAATATGCTTTGAAAAATTCTATTCTTCACAAAGTTATTAAAGTATCACCATTCTTATTTTGTCAGATAGATAACTGAAATACCAAAAAAAAGAGAAATGTCAGTAACAAAAATCTTATGAGAATCGAGGCTGAGAGATCAAGAAAGAGCTTGTTTAAAATTCCCAGGAGATCTGGTATCTATGCCCCTTTTCTAAAACTCTGGGCACCTGACTGGAGGATTTATCCAGCCTAGATTGATCTCTTTCCATGTTCAGCAGTGGCTGTATGAGCTAAAGTTTCATTCTGAAATAAGCAATTCAAACAGTCTCAAAACAAGTCCAACAATGGCCTACACTTATTCTCATCTTCTTTTATACATGACATATTTTTCAAGGATAGTCATTGCTTCAAAGCTAGGATATTCAAATGTTATTTGTTCCCCACTGGGATATACATAACATTTTTTACTTAGGCCATAGACTTCTCTGTAGGTAGGAAAATGGCTTCTATACAACTGAGGGTGCTGCTATGGACTGTCTGAACAACTCCCCCACCTCTAAAAATCCCATTTCTGCAATCTTCCATTGCTGTAAGTGTGGGGCAATGCAGTTGTTGCTACAGTGTCACTCCATTAGCTTCACTCAGAGACACATCCCAAACAGTTCTCTCCTCTGAATCATAACACCTTGGAAATACACTTTGTAAGCATGTCTTGACAGCAGCAGTTGCTTGAGACAGAACTTCAGCTTTGCCTCTAACCGAGCTCCAGTCCACCCACACAAAGCCTTCAGCTCAAGATGTGTTGTTGCACCTCTCACACTGGGTATATTCCCTCTTTTAGTACACAGATATACTCAAAAGTGCATCTAAATGCCCACAATAATTGTAAAACATATCTGAAAAAGATTTTTTAGCATGAATAATGTGCATTTATAAGACAGTACATGTCACAAAAGCCAGAATAATTAGCTCTGTTTAGATAATCACACCATTTTAAGATAATGTTTAGGATCATTAAAAATTCATTTCAACCTAAGAAATGCCACAAAGTTTAGATTTTTCCCTTAACAAGTTTCTGACAATGTGGAATTTTCTCACTCAGTGACAAGTGAAGCATCCTAAAAGCACTCAGCTCTCATTGTTTTGGTAAATGACACGAACTCCAGAAACCTCACAACAATCTGCATCAGGTATTTCAGCAGAGCTGAAAAATATCCAGCTGTAACAACTTCTGCAGCATTTATACAAAACTCAGAGATTAAAAGGTTAAAGATTTGCTTTCAATCAAAAGTCTTAGGTAAAATCCTTAGCTAAATAAATCACTATCACACACCAATTATATATTACAATTTGGTACTTAATCAGCATCAAAAACAAAATCAATACTCTCTTCTGTGTACTTGTTTTCACACAGCAATGTTTGTCCTTACATTTGAGTTGGGAAACCTCTCTCAACCTGGTACTGAATGAAAGACTGAAATTCATATAGGCTGGCTCTCAAAAGATTGTAACCATAATAGAATCCAGAATGTATTAAAAAATAGGGAGGTTCTACTTGACTGCTCATTAAAGGGGGGGGTGGGCAACAGGTGGAAAGGTTGAGGAGGTTTGTTGTCACATGTTTGAAGCACAGTGTGCTTTAATTTGTTTTTCAAAACAAAATAAAATAGTAATTTACCTGAATTTGTTTACCTGTTGAGGGGGATGATTATTTTACGTTTTGGGCTAACTATGCAAACTTCAAATAATTTGGTTGTCTTCAGTTGGCTTAAAAACTGACACTTTGCTAATAAAGTTACTACAGTGCAGATCTTGGGGTGATTTTCATCCCAGTTTCACAAATAAATTCACTGAGGCTCAGAGAAGTTAATCTCTCCACATGGAGTAAAATCCAGTACACAAATAAAACATAAAAATCCTGTCTGCTCTTTCAATGAGATCAGACTGTTGTTCTAACCTTTCAGAAGAGTACACTCTATTTTAACTTCCAAATGCCTGTTGCAGAAAGTGTAGGCTCACTTTTAACCAGTACAACCCTTATTGTGACACACACTCCCAAAGGAAATGGTAGAGAGATTGTTTGCTAGGACAGTTAAAATTATACCACCACTTATGAATATTTACTAAAGTACTTTCTGTCCTGTCTCAGAATAAAGTAGGTTGCTCATGTAAAATTCTGTGAGTTTGCAATATTTTAATCAACAGACATGGTAGCAATTAAAGAGGACAGATTTAATATGAGATAGGTGGAAAAATTAATTGACATTTTAAGAAAAAGATCTCTTTCACAAATTTTAAATCTGTTTGAAAATTGTATTCAGAATTGAGTCACAAATCAAATTATAAGTACTGAAAAACTTTTGCCTCTATTGCTAAAGGCACTAATTCAAGATAAATTATCGTAACTTCTCTAATTTTTCAGATGGAGACTAAGACCAGAAAAGAGATCTAGTGCCTCCATCCATCTTTGAAGAAAATTCCTCATAAACTATGTGAATTAGAGTTCTTTTCAATTAATAGTCCCATACTGCAGAGATATGGGAAGGTAAAACAAAGGAAAAAGGGCCTAGAAGAAAGCTGGAGAGGTATATTTTACATGCAAGAACATATAGAGATAAGACAAGGGGGCTGGCTTTAGACTGGAAAAGGACAGATTTATCAGCTATTAGGAGGAAATTCTTTACTGTGAGGGAGCTGAGGCACTATACAGGTTGTCCAATGAAGCTGTGGATGCCCCATCCCTGAAAGTGTTCAAGGCCAGGCTGCCCTTGCCCTTGAGGGAGGGTTATCAAAATGGGGCTCTGAGCAACCCAGCCTAGTGCAAGGTGTCCCTGCTCGTGGCAGGGGTGTTAAAACAAGGCAATCTATAGGGTCCCTTCCAATCCAAACCACTCTACGATACTGTGAAACTAATTATACATTCTGAGATCTATGAGAATGATAAAGCTGCTTCTTTCAACAGCTGCAAAGACCTCCAGAAATGATGCAATTTATAGTATCCTATTTACGGCTCACATAAAGCACCAGCACACAGGGAAGGGATTTAAGCTCCCAATTAGTGCCAGCACAGTTCTATCTTCCTGCTCCCATAGCACAGCTACACTGGAGCTCTGCCATTGCTCATTTACATCACTGCTACATACACACCTCTTCTTCCTGAAATAGAGATAAACCCCATTAAAAATGAATTAATACACCAAAAAGCTGAAGAAATCCCTGAAGACGTCTTACAAAGGCATGACTTACTTCAGCACCTGACATGCCTATGGCTAGCTATCCCCAAGCTGATGGGAACTCCTGCAGGCTGGTGGCTGAGCTTCTTGGGAAGGTCACTATTAGAGCCCAGCTCCTGGGCTGGAGTCCCAGCAGTGCCCTGGCCTGAGGACTTCAGACTGACCTCTGGACCACGCTGCTGCTCCTATTTCAAACTCCACACAGTAACTTGATTACAAGCAGTTAAGTAAAATTCTGCTAAATTCATGCTGCACCATGTTACTGTGCTCTCTTCTAGTAATATTACCCTGTGAATGATTTCACAATTCAAGATTGCTCAGCAGGTTCTCTGAAGGAGAAATTTTTAATATAAGGACTGTGAGTCGGTACAACTTGTCACCTCCAACACAAACTGCTTCTGTAGCCAGATTTAATTTTCACTCCATTCTTTCCTCCACCTGAAACAAACATCATGAAATACTTTACCTGATCACTGGGTAAAATACAAGGGCATGAGCCATCTTTATGTGACATTTTAAATAGTACCCAGGCTAGCAGGGTGCTCATTTGGGAAGAGGACACACAAGGCACTGGAATAAATGGATAATTCCCATTACGAACACTGAAGCAAATCTAAAACTTTGAAATACTTTTCTAGAAATTTCAGGTCTAAGTATTTACAGTAACAAATCAAATTCATGTTGTTTACATTAAATAAATCTTTAAAATGTCTTATGGAGAATGGCAAATGAGATTACCTAAAAGAAAATATCCTTGTTAAGCTTTCAGGGCTCACCCTAAAATGTTGAGACTTCATTGTTATGAGTTCACATTGAGATGATTTCCTAATTTTCTCGGGCCAGATAGCAAGGTTACCTCCGGAGCAGACTCTGACATTTTAAGTAATGAACATTATCACCTAATAGATAAACATGATTTTGGTTATCATGCCTGGGCTGTTTTGGATACATTTTACACACAAGAATTTGAAGCCTTCTTGGGTTCAGTTCAGCACTATTTGCCATTTCTAACATTTCATGATGCAAATTTCTTAGGACAAGACTGGGCAGAAAATGCCTAAGCCATTAACACCTATAACATATGCAGTGAGAATATACTGGAACTTTTTCTGCTCACCCTCTCCCCCTTACCTGTGAGGTCAGAAACCTGGTCTTGAGTTTGCTAAAGACAGACATTGCAATTATTTCTAATCATTACTCCAGCCTCCTTCTTCCATGACATACAGGCTGGCTTAAGTTCTCTTGAATACTCAGATTTTCCTTGAATAAGAAACTAATGGAAAAAGTCTTCAGGTATTTACTCTGTAGTTACAGAATATATTTGCATGTAAGTGTATTTGTATGCAAGGAATAACTAATTCCCAGTTATCTTGCTAGATATGAACCCTCTAAGTCACACATTTATACCCACTGATGTAACAAACTTTAAGTTAGGAAGCAGGGGCAGCCCAAATAATTCTAAAAATAATTTCTTCAATAGATTAATATTGGTGGCAGTAATGGTACTTACCTGAATTTTTTTAAAGAAGGGATATTTGATGATCTGTAGGCAAATCAAGAATTTTTATTTTTCTAATTGTTTGATTTCTGTGCTATTTTTACAGGTACTGTGAATTAATGTAAGCATTCCATCTCTAGAGACACGGAGCAACAATTTAAGAATAATTTTTGTCTTTTTTTTCCTGAAATACATTTTGTTGTGGCCATACTGTACAATCAGTGAAGATTGATATTTGGAGACAATATCCTAACAAAATTTATTTTAAAGTTCAGTAACATGCCTCAGAGAACAAATTATCAGAAAGCCCTTAGATGTTATCAGTAAGGATATTTCAAATGGGATGTCACTTTTTCATCACTGCCCAAAGCTGTCTTGCTTCCCTGTGCAAAGCACATCTGCTGTGTTTCATCTGACCTACCTGCATTTTACAGATTTATGTTCTACAGGTGTAAGGGATTTCACAAGATACAAGACCTTATACAAGTAAGAGATGCTGAATGCATCTGGAAAGAGCAGCTTTACTGCAACCTGTGTTAACCATAGAAGAAAGGTGCTGAAACTAAAAATTCTCTTCCTGTGCACAAAGTAATATCTAAATCCTCATCCAGACAAAACTAAACAGACTGTTTGCCTAGAGACTTGATTCCAAGAATAGCTGAAACTCATGGGGAAAAAAAAATATAGAAAAAGCCCAGCATTTGATGTCCCCTTGCGAGTTTGGATGAAACCATCATAGGATCCTTACTTTTTCCTTTCATTTTCTAGTATCCTGAATAAATCTTTGAAGTACTGGGGAACACGGACAATCACATTTTCTGAAGGACCTATATCTTTAAGCTCAGGATAGAGTTTGCTGTCAATCACCTTCTTGATGTATCCCAGCCAGTCAAACTGCAATGACAAAGAGAAGGCTGGTTAAAGCAGATTATGAAGAGAGATGATTTATTAACTAAGTTACACCTTCAAAACTAATGGTTTCAATGCTTTACTTATTAAAAACTTAGAAAGTATTGCACTTTGTCATTACATATGTTTTCAATCCTCATTAAAGTTGGAATTGTATTTAAAAGAATGAGCACACACATTCCTAATGATACTTCTTTAACATGCTGCTCTGAACACTAAAGACAGTTTTAATTATACAGGTCAGATATTAAAGAATAATTTTTCAGTTATACCAAACCAACCTGTGGAATCATGGCACTAAGCTCCGATATGTTCATTTTATTGTACATCACCTCACTTGTTCGATTTTCATATGGAATCATGATCTGGTGAAGAGAAAAAAATGCACAAAACCATCAAAACAAGGTTTATCTTGCAGGGACTCTTATGTCATTACCATCCTTCCTAATCCCAGTGCAGAAATATCTCACCACCAATTTTCTAAGCATCTATGGCATTAACCTCCATTATAACCTCCATTCTGAGGACTGCATTTAAATAGAAGAAATGGAACATAGTTCCTTTTATGTTTAACTCATTACTGGGAAATTTAATGAGCTGCATGTCTTCTTTGGACCTATTAGATAGATTTAGCTCTGATTATGCTTAGGAAAGACATGTTAATACATAAAAGATAAAAGTACACCTTGACTATTCATACTCATTCATTCCTTCCTATCATGTAGAAGCCAACTTCAGATTTAATAGGTCAAATCTGAGATAGGTGCATCTTCATAACTGGAAGTGCATCTTATGTCTTGGATTTGAATGTGTTCTTTACTCCACCTGGGGGAACAGCCAGATTCTCCTCTGAACAAGCTTCTCCTTATTTCACCCCATCATCCTGATTTCCATAGCAGGAAGCCTGAGAATATAGGCTAGACATAAATAATATGAATAAAGCACTCCCCAGCCAGGCCTCTCATCTGGGTGACCAGAGGACCCAATCTCAAGTTGCTCTGCAGCAAGGATACAGCAAAAGAAATCCTAAATATGAAGCAAGTCCTTTTATGACTGACAAGAAGGACATGCAGTCTCCAAGAAGTCCTGTGGTTCATAATAGTAAAACAAAGTACAAGATATAGCTCAAAATTTTCTCAGTGTTCAAGAGTAACAAAAATTCCAGATGGCAATTCCAGCCCTGCTGTAAGGCAAATCCTATACAACAGGCAGTATGCTGGGAAGTCTAAAGGACAGAGTTTGACGCCAGACAAACCAGACAGCTGGCACTTCTCCAACCAAAATTCTCCAGTAACTGCTTATGGTTTTAATATTGCTCAAACCATAGAGGAAAAAAAATTACTTTCTTTTCCCTTTCTGCAAATTCCATTTATCTGAAAAATCTTTAAACACTTCTTGAAGCCATTTACTCCCTTACTCTCAAAACTTTCCCTCTTGCTCCAGTGATTCAAACTTAATAAAAAAATTCCTTGTACACAACAAGCTCTCTCAAAACATGCCACTCCTTCCTATATCCAAAGTATTCTTGCTGTTTCTTCCTGAGCATAGAATTCTCCATTAAAAATGTTTATTTGAAAAAAATGAAGAGGAACACAGGATATGGTAGAACCTCCAGTGACAAACAGTGACATCACAGTAAGATGCTTATATAATCATTATGTTTATTAGGGTTTATGCAACCAAGTCCATTGGCTCATGCCTAATATTAGGACAGACATTAGGAGGATTATTCTTACTAAAAGAAACTGTAAACAAGCATGGCTTGTTGCATAATGATGTGCACTACTGATGCTGAGGGTTGTTACATGATCCATGTCATCTTACATGGCAGCTTCACTTACATATTTTGTGGATTAATGCTCTGTAAGACACTTGTTAAGCAAAGCATTAGAGCTACCAGAGCTAAGGATACGTCATCTTATGTCATCACTGATAAACAGAAGAAATATTTACTGTTTTTCAAGTGTGCTGGGTCACAAGGAAGTATTTGTGCATTAGTCCATCCATGTAAGGTAACTGAAAATGAATATTGGGCTTGGCTTAGACATTTGACAAAATTTCATCCCTTTCAGCAGAGAGACGGAAACACTGGCTACTATTGTGGGTGGCCCTCGTTTCTGTACAAACACACCATTAAGAAGCAGTGGGATTCCTGTAGCAGCCACACTGAAACAGAGATATAGAGAATGAACAACACTCCTCCAACCTGAAATAATCCTGTGGCATAAATTAAATTCCACAAGGGAACAAAAATGTAACCAAGTAAATGTCAGAATCAAGTACCAGATTTAAATACTCTTAGCTTTACTAAATTCATTTGATCCCCTAAATTGAAACTCGTGAGTTTTCCATCCACTCCCCCAGACTACTCCATGAAAACACTTTTGGAGCTAAGGTTGGTACAGCTGTAAACACCAATCTCTCATCACCAAGATCCAATATCCCACCTCAGCCATGCACTGCTTTTAGACTGTTCCACAGAGAATCAGCCCAGCCTGCTTCTTAAACAACAAAATAATATATTCTCAACACAAATGCACAGCAGGAGCTCAGATTCTACACAACTTCAAAATTATAGAATCACTTAGGTTGGAAAAGACATGTAAGGTCTTGAGTTATGTCATATTTTTCCAGCTGCCTAGTGGGTACCAGTGAGTTAGTGTAGATGAACTTCAGCTGGGATATTGATCTCATCACCTTTTCAGAAGGAGAAGCCCTAATTCCTATGGGACAATCCTCAGGCACTTCCCCAGTTTCTAACACATCAACAACCCCTGTATTTGTGTTGCCATATGGATCTCCATCCCCCACCTCCACTGAGATGGCAAACCAAAGGACACCATCACATTTAAACATTGCCATGCCACCCCCAGGTTTGCCTCTGGTCAGCCTGGCTGACATTACAATTTAAAACACCAGGGGCATTTGGCTAATGTTTTTTCTCTGAGAATAAAATTTACAATTTAACAATTAACTAAGAGAGAAATATCATTTTTCTTTTCTTCATCAGGATTTGCTCCTTTCCTTCTGCTTCTAAAATCCCTATTGTTAACGCTGTTGATATAATGGCTTTTCACTTTGAGAAAGGATTATATTAAATTACCAACCTCTGCTATTTTAACTTCCAATTTTAGAACTGATTTCATATCAGATTCGGCTCGGGAGGCGTTTGCACCCAGAAGCACTGCTGTATCAACCATGAACTGCAAAAAGGCATCTCGGTACTGCAAAGAAAGAGAAAGACTGAAATGACAACAGGATTTGCTCTTGAGTAGAATTGTAGCAGTAGACCTGAAATGCCCAGCTATAGGAAGGAGTATAAAACTTTCATGCTTTAGGAACCAAGGTTGTGCTTTCCTTACCTTGAATGCCAAGCAAATTAAAAAGGAGAAAAACCACTGTAAAACTACCATGCATGAAAGAGATAACTGCCGTGGTTCAGGGAGTACAAATCTCAGGAAATGCAAATGACAGTTCTGGATTAGACTGACAACTTTCAGCTCTTACAAATGGATTAGACAATGTGTAAAGATGTACACCAGTATTTTTGGCCAACTAAGACAGTAACTACTATGGGACAGAAGTACTTGTATACAAGTGCAAGCTTCATTTAAGAAATTTTGCAAGAATGTTTTGATAGAAGTGGTGTTTTCTGCTAGATACCCTGAAAAAACCAAATCCAAAAAAAGCACAACCCTTTCTCAGTTTGGAGCTTAACAAAGCAAAACCAGCAATGAAAAAAGATGAGGAGGGAAATGGTGGCTCTATTTTCCAGCTGACAATACTTACAGATTTGGCTTCTGTGGTATTTTCTAGGTAATCCTCTCGAGATGCCAGAGAGAGGCTTGCTTGATCAAGCTGTTAAAAACAACAAAAAGTAGCATTTAACAGCTAAATTCATCAGATTCAAAGATAAACTGATACACAGCTTTGGAAGGGTTCATATTTTTCTGACAATTACGGTAGTTGTGTGCAAATATCTACTATAAAATACTGCACCAGTCTGAGTTCAACAGGATTTCAAAAACAACAGGAAAATGTTATGCTGTGCTGACAGGTATTAACTAAATCTCATTACTGTGACCTGGGGAGCCTCAGATGACCCCTGCAATAGCTAAGCCATCTAGAGAAAAGAGTCACAGGTGTGATTTACGTGTTTAAAACAGCTTACAACAGTGAGTAGGAAATGCAAAAGGACTGTGTCTACAGGATCAAATCATTGGTTGCTGATGAACTTTCATCCATCCTATGCCTATTTATTTCAGGGGTACAAAAGTCAGCTTGAGCCCACAACAGTCCAGTGTTTGCACCAAATGCCCCTGAGGTGTGGAGCATGCCTGTCTGTCTGTCTGGGAAGCATCACTAGGTTTTTTTTTGACTGAAACTGAGGTTACACTTTTGAGCTTCACCCTAGACAGCACTGGGTGCTGTACTCAGTCTTTTGAAAGATGAATTGAAACTGAAGTGACTACCAGCCAGGATTGCATGCACAGGATATTGCTCTGTACTCAATACTTTAGTTAAAGCCATATAGATCTTTGACCTTCACTTATCTTTTCAATCTAAACATGGATGAGGTTTTCTGGTCTACATTCATCCTAACATTGGAATCAGGCCTGAATGTTTGAGATATGCATTTAAGTATATTGAGTGAAACATCTACATAGGAACATTTGCATATTATTTCAAATTCTTAATGAGGAAAAACTCACTATGTAGCATATATTTTATAATTATTACTGGGAACTGAGATTTCCCAGAATTTTTCAATGTGATCAAGTTAGGTTACGGTATGGAAGCCAAAGCTGAAAACTTCAATCAAACAGCTTCCAAACTTTGAATAAGCTACTGATTGGAGAAGAAACAACTGCTTTATGTTTTAAACATTTTTGGTTTGATGCTACAATTGCTTTTAAAAATAAGTCTAATGACAATAGATTGTATTTACTCATAGAATTCATATAAGTCCTTTTTATCTAAATACTTTAGGTTAAGTGATCTATATTTCACATTTTCTACATGTAACAAATAAATAAAACTTTTAAGTTTTAAAGTGAATAAATAATTAATAATAATAGTCAATAATAATAGTTAAAGTGAATAAATAAATGTAAACTTTTCCTCTATTAGCTGATAGTCACAACCTTTAAAATATACCATAAACGAATAAAACAAACCATCTTCAAAAAGGAGTAATTGTAATGCTCAGCGCAACTCTCATTCTTTGAAAAACATCGTCACTTTCTTTGCTCAGCACAATGATGCAAAAAGAATATACTCTTATGTTTTTTATACACGTGTCTTTGCAATAGTTAACTTCAGATCATTTGGGGAATTTCAATTATGTGACTGTTACATTAAATGCTCATTCAAATTCCTTGAGTCTTAAGAATTAGATTTGACAGCACGTTAAATCAAGAGAGCACAAATATGAGAAATAAACAAAAAAATGTTAACCAACTGCTTCAGCACTCATGGGGGAAAAAAAAAAAGATAATGCTGAATGCTGAACAAAGTTTTATTTGGAGTTTCCACTTCTTTCAGGATCCATTGATGATTTTGCAATGCTGAACAAAGAGAATTTTGCAATAAACCCATTTTCACAAGTAGATTGAAATAATCTGTGGTATATCTACACCCAAGAGAATTTGTTAGAACATGGACAAAGTAGAGCACTAGCTGATGCATTCTGCAGATCAAGGTCCAAATCAAATTAACATCAGAATACTCTACAGAATAATATGTTATTCACAGCATGTGGAGCTTCAGTTAGATATTTAATTCCTAGGCACCCCTAAGCATAGTGAATGAAGGTACTGCTGGTTATAAATCATTTCCAAGGGACCAGCAGTGAGGATGCCCAGCCATTTGCTGACAGGTGACTTGAACTGAAATATTATGACAGGAGATGCCCAAATAAACATCTCCCTGATTCTACTGCTTCAGTTCTTTTGAGTCTCCAGCTGAAGAAAATTGACAGGATCTCAACAGCATCACAGCAGAATGACATCTTTAATACAGCAAACTGATGATCTGCTGTTGATTATCCAGGAAAATGTCCTAGAGATGGGGAAAAGTTACTCTTCGACTTTATGACAGTTAAATACCTCAGTCAAAAGACATACGGAGAACTGACATCCACTCCAGTACCACTACAGTCCCTAAATACAGTGTATTCTTGGCTACATTCCTACATACAGACAAGACATTAGCAAAATAAGGATCATAGGTCCTGTTTTGCTGTGATGAATGCCATCATAACATTCTCATTTTTTCCTTCTCTCTTGCCTTCATGGATTATTTTCTTGTAGCCATGGAGGGAGGGTCTGCTCTGGATACTCATCTGAAGTTCTTAAACAACAATGCATTTGGCCCAGGCACTCAGTCTTGCCACAGTTATACAATTATATCTGGAGTTTTGTCAGACTAAAGGGAGGCAACATTTCTTGAGTCTTTTTCTTATTAAACTGTTGTGTAATGCCATGCACTGTTAACAAATTGGTAATGTTTTGGTCTAAAAGCAATAGCATTTCAGGAAAAAGGTGAATTCTCTTATTTCATGTTTAAAAGCACAAGAGATAAATCTGTGCTGTGAGGTGCTGTATAAGCACCAGATTAAGTGTTTCCATCTCAAGAAAAACAGGTCAAGTTCAAAATATCTGCTACTTATGTCCCATTTTTCATCCTCACAGACAAAAAAAGCATTCTTCATGCAACTGATGAGTCATAAGCAGCACACAGAATTAGATATTGACTTCCTATTCTCATGCACGTAGACCCTGGCTATTGGTCTACTGGGACATTTTTATGTTTTTTTTTTTTTCCATTTGAAAGAAGAAAACCTGTACAGAAATATTTTTCAATAGCATGTGTTTGCTAGTGGCTTCTACATTCCCATAAACTGACACCTACATACATCTGTAAGCCAGTAGATAATAACAAAAATCAAATGTAAACATTTGGTATGTAAATGTATTTTTTAAAAAGAGACCATAAAAGACCATGCAAAGTACCCTATTAGAAATGCTGTACTGTACCTTCAGGATGTAGCGATTGGAGATTTTGTCATCAGCAGCCACGTACAAACGGATGAAGACAGAGCTGCTGTATTGGCCACGAAGAGTTGCCAAGGCTTGGACTAAGCTGAACCTCCTTTCTGACCACAGTCCTTCAGGTCCAATATTGGATTCCAGCACAGGCCAGCGGAAAGGTGAATGTTTCAGTATACTTAACAGTGGTTTCACATCGGCTTTTTCAATTTTATCTGAAATGTCAAAGTGTGACAACAATTACATTCCAGACAATTCAAGTCCAGCTGCAGCCACACAAGACAAAGATTTATTGGCATCGATTGACTTCCAGGCAAGGCAATCACAATAGCTGAAACTCAAAGCCTCTGCTCTGCCTGTGAGCACAGCAGCCTAGAAGTCCAACCCTGTTTGTCTGTATCAAGAATAAGAGAGGCAAGTCAGTGCCTTTCAAAAAAGGCAAATATTGGAGGTAAATTTTAAAAAAACAAAAACACTCCTTGCAGGAACTAGCATAGAAACATCACCGTTTTTGGGGAGGGGGGTTATTGCTCATAATCAAAACTAGCTGGACAGCATCTGGGCCACCAAGGCTGTAGAGCAGGCTCTCTCACTTGCTGGCACTCAGACGGGCCATGCTGGAAGAAAACTGCAGGAAATGAATCCTGAAAATGTCAGAAGGAAAAAGGGGACTTCCAAGCCTTCTTTCACTTCTGTATCTACCTAAGATAGTGACGTGTGCTGAATTACTGTACATTACCTTACAGCAGCATTTACAAGCTGAGGAAAGGCACTCTGCAAATGTGGCTAACTTGCTTGACATGCAGATACCAAAGCTAAAGAGTCCAGGGCTGTCTATACCCAGCCCTGGGGAAGTGTTTCGATTAAACAGATTCAGAGAAATGTAGAACATAATGAGCAACAGGTTCTTGAAAATATCAGTATGAGAATTTCATCAGAGGGTTCCTCTGATTTACTAACCCCAAGCACTAACCCAACAACCCTGGAGCACAGTTTAACATCCTTTCACACAGATAAATATCTCTTCACAGTTCTGACAAGTAAAGGTTTCTCTAAAACTGACTTCTTGTGCCTGGGTGTATCTCGGTCTCAAAAGCCAGCTTCAGATGTGTAAAAGACCCTCTGCATTCAGTTGAATCCATATCAGCAAAATCCATGCATCTGCACAGAGCTTCACAGAGCTCTGCAGAGAGATAAAAAGCCTGCCTTTATAAATGCAGGGAATGCATCTATGGCCTCTTCAAATAAACCCACTTACTCTCATTCATGCAGGATGCATAAAGGATCTTAGCCTTCTGTACAGCTTCACTGTCTCGTCTTTTGCTGATGGGTTTCTCTAGCAGTGCTGAAAAAAACATATAATTTTTTTCAATACTTTGGAAATGTAGACACTGTTTGCCTGTTTCAGCATTTGGTATAATCATAGCATTTGTTTAATTAAGTATGAGGCTCCATGTGTACTTTCTTAAGCAGTAGCACAGACATAATTGCACCTTTTTCAATCCCCAACTGAGAAGGATTTTTAATTTTTTTATTTTAAAGAGAACTGATATAAAGCCAAACGACAGATGCAGCTTGTTACTCATCCTCACAACCAGCTACCCTCAGCAAACTGAGGTGACAGGCAGTCGTGGGGTGAGGGTGGGAACCAACACACAGAGCAGGGAGTCAGGAATTTTTTCAAGTGGCTCAGCTTCTGGTGCTGGTACATTATGAAATCAGGACCTAACGGAGGTTACAGGATCCCAGGAGCCTGCTGTAAATCAACCATCATGCAGCTGCAGCTACAAAGTACTGAGGCTAAATGTAGAGGCAGCTGAGCTTCAGAGAGATCTGTCAGCTCAGGTATTGCACAGCATAAGCACTTCCACGGCCGAGAGAAGCAGGTAACTCTGGAGCACAGCACAGGAACAGGGCTGGCAGACTCTGCCGGACCTCATCTGGTTTTTCAGGACCCAAGCAGGTCCTGCACAACCTTGCCTTATTGTTACTGGGACCACTGGAAGGAGTGGCTTTGCTGGTATTAAGTCCCTCCTGTTGTGTGTTCAGCCAGAGCTAAAAAGCCTTGAAAAATTCAAGACTCCCTTCCCTGCACCAAAGTACCACACAGGGCTCTGTGTCTCAAATGAGCAGAGGCAGCACAGTGCAACTGTGCTGAGAAGCATGGCCCACACAAAAGGGGGAACAAAGTGCAACACAAGAGTCCCAGAGGCCTGTGAATGCTGTGAACCACTGAGACTCTGTAACACCAGCCATGGCAAGACCAAAAAGCTCCCACACAGAGCTGGATCGGGGTCAATGCAATGTTATTCCTCTGCCAGGACTGGCTGGGGACACGCAGAGTACTGAAGAGATGGTGGTACTGTCATCCAAAAGCAGCACCTCCTGCAAACAGTGGCAGCTGCTCGCCCTCCAGCCCTGCTCTGTCCAGCAGCTGCCAGAGTCCACCCTGCAATGCCTCCTCAAGGCAAAGGTGGGTGTGACTGCTCAGTTCTACAGCTGACAACAGCCTGGGTTTGCACAGCTCCTCTCAGTATTAGGAGCTCACTGCTTGAGGTAGGACTTCAAAGCACTTATTTCCCAAAATTTCCATAGCACTCTGATGAACTAGCCATGCTGCACCTCTCAGCTATTCCCCACCTGAGCTCATGTGAGCACTCAGAGGACCATAATGCAGACCTCAAACCGTTTATTACTCAAGGAATAGCATAGTGATGACCAAATGCCACTCCCTCCAATCCCTTTTCTCCTTAAACAAACAAACAAAAAACCCCGTTTCCCAATTCTTTTGCTTAGACCTTAAGAGATTTAATGAGCTTATTGCCTTTTAGTTGTAAGATTTTTCCATAAGAATATTTCTGGAGAATCCTCAATCATTTCCCAGTTTATTAAATATGATATAATGCAAATCATCAATATATACATTCAGTGTGCACAATTCTTAGCAGCATAATCAGACCTGTTCACATTTTTTAAATGGCATTTTAAAAGAAATTATAAATGAATCCTCTATAAAACTAAGGATGAAAACCTACCCTCCCATTAAAGCCATTGCAATAATTTGTGTATTTGCACAACCATGAAATTTTGAGGCTAATAAAATCCAACGGCTAAAGCTCAAGAGAGAAACAGATGATAAGAGCCAATAAAGTCAATTCTACAGATGATGTTAATGGTGTTAAAATCAGACCTGGTGTTTTCCCATCAAACTATGTAATTAATGTGACATCTACCCCCACCTCACTACTGCAGAGAGCGAGGTGGGGTAGATGCTGCAAACTTGCTCAGAATTCCTTTATGAAGACAATTCTCGGTTCTGATAACATAAAATCCAGTGATCAAACATGAAAGACTTAATAAGATGATTGAATCCTGTGGACACTGAAATAGGGGATGTGATCCATGGATGGTCTTTAGGCTATGGAGGTTTCCCAGCCTTAACCTCAAGTTTTCAGAAAGATTTAGAAGCTTAAACCTGGATCACTGCTCACATCCACATGATTTCTACATTAGCTAGTATAAAATCCAAATATAAGATTTAGGAATTTGCTTCTTATTTAGCTCACAAATACATATGGTTTTTACATGTCCCTGCATATTTAAATTCTTAAAGAAGAATAGCGAGAAAAAGCAAGAATAGCAAGGAAAGGCAGGAAGCACAGGATACTGATCGAAGATATATGTAATCAATCAGTCTAGGGATTGTTTGTTCATGGAAAGGAAGTCACTACTGTGATTGAAATCAATGTAGGCCTATCAAGCTCTCTTTAAATTAGCAGTATTGGGTCCTGTGAGTAGCCTGGCCACAGCTGCAGGCCCTGACAAACCCACTCCTTACAGAGTATATCTGTTCACATGGATCGATGCACGCTGCTCTCTACAGGGCAGCTTTTGGGAGGGCTGCAGCTCAGTGTCTGCTCTCCCAGGACTCTGCAAGCTGAACAAACCTGCCCCAGGACCATCCCACACTCTCTGAGCAGTGCTTCACCTCCTGACACATGACATGGATTTCAGGCTCTCATCTACAGTAAGGGAAATCCCAGCCAGTGACACACAGAGAGCGAATTCAGCCCCTCTGAAAACATTCACCTGAACTATAGTTGTCTGAGAGAATTGTCTTTCCACTTTGAAAAACTGTAATAGCTTCAAATATTTTCTGTTTTGATGGCAAAATGTAAGCAAAACCTATGTCGTCTTTCAAGGGATAGGAAGAGGAAGACCACCAAAGATCAGTTAATGTTGCATCTGATAAGATACCACAGATTAGCTGTTTAGTTTTTTACTTTGTCTTTCCAAGGTCCAGATCTCACACCTCACTAAGGAATTCTGTGCATTCATACAAATCCATTGAGAGGTTCAGTCTGATAGGCTTTCCTTAAGCACAGTTTCCTTAAACTCTGAGCTAATTAGGGAGATCAGGGATACCAACATTTTGACTAGAATGGCTCACTTAGCACTGAGAAGGACACTAAGCTTGTTCTTGAAGCTGTCTTGCTTGCTGTTTTCTTACTTCAGACTAAAGTTCTAATTCCTTAAAGCAATCTTCCATCTTAGGACACTGAGCTTTTACCTCTAAAGAATAATTGTTAAGTATAAATAATTTTGATCAGATTAGGAAATGCACATCACTCCAACAAAATTGAAGAGACACCATTAAAATAATAGCTCATTTTTCAGCTCTCAATTGAATGATACAGCACTAGGCATAGAATAGCAATCTGGCTGCAGAGGTTAAAAAGAAACCACATTCCAAGCTGATTTACAGGCATCTGAAAAAGCACAGAATTTTTATTAACATCAACCAAGATTTAACAATTTATTGCTGCTACCAAGTTATACCACTAACCTGCCTGCAAAGCAGGATATCATAACCAAAAATCACCAGGACAAACAAAGTGAACCAGCATAGCTTAAGCCAGCTGAATATACAGTTTGGATCCCATTTCCTTAACCAAAAATCAAGTATACGGTTGAACGGCTTTTTTAGCAAAACAGCTCTTTTTCAGTTATATCTTTCACTTTCTTCACTTTTAAATAATTTCCAAAGTCATTCTCTTAGGGATAAAAAAATACTTGGGTCTCTATCACTGACCTCAGCACCTCATTGTTAATGTTTCTATATGCACAGGATGTCTAAATGCAAGATTTATGTTTCCCTTCACATAAAACTTAGTTATGGCAAGTGTTACCACCTATTGGCAATTCCACTCTACAGTGATATAGTAATATATCTCATTAAGCAGCTACCACTTGCACAGTCAGAAACTGGCTGAAGGTGTACACAATATTCTAAACTTCCTGAGGCTGGAAATGGCTTCATCATTCATTTTCTTGTACCAAGTAGCTGAGGGTGTAGAAGTTCCCATTGCAGTCAAGGTTCTTGAACTTCTGTCACGCCAGGTCAGGCAGGTTGGCATCATTGCACTCCCTGACTCTCACATAAAACACAAAGACTCAGGATCACCAGCAAAAAAACACTGCATAGCTAGGAGTGATCTTCACTTGTCTGAACTGGAGATGCTCAGATATACAGCCAAGGAAAAAGGCACAGCTTGGGGGTGGGGAGCTGGGAAGGGAAGGGAGAGAGTTCATATTGAGTTGCCCTCACACAGTTCTTTTTCAGGGCAAGAGGGCTAAAAAAAGGCCAGCTTCCTGTGGTTCACTACCCTCGAGTAAATAGCAATCATCTGTTGTTAAAAGTGAGAGCAAGGCACATTACAAAGTTAGCTTTGCATGTGTGTTTATTTAACTGCATACTATTCTAAAGCTGCTAAGGATAGTCCTGTGGTTAAGCATTACCTTTAATCTTACTTTCCATTTCCAGCCCTTGTTGATTTTCCAGCCCACTGTCTTGCACAACTTTCCTTGGCTTTCAACCACCATATTTTATTTCTGGTGCCAAGAAATCCCATACCTTTCCTGCTTCTGACTTGGACTGCTTGAAAAAGGATTGTAAAACCAGATTTGCAGAGAAAAGAAACACGCATGCCATTTATTCAGATTAGAAATATTGATTCAATTTATCAGTGTCCTGATCAGATTGTATATATACTGTACCCTATCAGACAGTTTTATATATATATGTAGCTGTGTTGAAATCCTGAGAAGTACTGTGTTATTCATGAGGCTTATTTGCTATTCTAGTGAGAAAAATAAAAGTTTTCTCTGCACTTTACAAACATAGATGTAGAGAAATCATTGTGTTAGTAAAGACAGTAGCATTTTTTCTATTAGTTTTTGTTCTTTTCCTTTTACAAACATTTACTCTGTGTGGAAAATGCAAGCTCAAGTGTTTGCACAGTGATATCTGACAATGACCTGAAATATATTATCATGCTTTGTATC